ATCAACGGCGGTTTATTTACAGCTCAACCACTCTGCCTTTCTAGCACAACAGCACCATCCACTACTATTTGGGTACTATGGACCCTGTTTTATGTAAAGGCATTTTATTCAGTAGCTTGAAAATAATGAATCTACAAAGTAATGCTCTAAGTGAGAGTAACTCATTTTAGAATGTGTTATTATGATTAATGGTGGGGCCTTGGCATTTTGTAGACTAATGTTAATATAGTAACATTTGGGTAGCACCTCTTGTGATTTTTCAAGGTGGTATACTTGTTTGTTAATGCATCCCATGTCCAGCCGTTGAATTATGCCAGCATTAGTGACAGGGCCACTTTGTCAGGCTGGAAAGATGGTCTCAGACTCAATAAGGAAACACTTTATCAAAAGGAATAAAAAATGGAAATGAGGTACTACCTTTGGGCTCATATTAAATTAGCTTCGGGAACTTAGAAGCAACAGCTACTCTTGCTGTTCCTGCTAGTGCAGCATTGTGGGTCTTTCCATCTCATGCTATATTATTTCAACAAATATTTATTTGGTACCTACTATGCGTAATGCATTAGGTGCTTATTCTGATTATTCTATTATCTTAAGATATACAAAGGTCAATGTATTTCCATGTGTGCCTTCAAAGAGTCTAGGAAAAGAGATGATGCATGTACAGAATTACCTGTAATAAGAAAAAGCAGTGTTAAGTGCTATGGTAGAGATAAAATGTGCCGAGATTTCAGAGAGCGGGAAATTGTTATAACTGAAGAACCAGGAGGGTATTCATGAAGGAAATATAAGCGCAGCAGAACCCTGAGGAGCAGTTAGGATTTGAACATATGGAAGCCAGGTTGAAATAGTTCCAGAAAAAGAACTATGCAATCTAACAACAGGAGAGGGAGATTCTGGGATATGTACTACCAAAGGATACCTGCCTAGAATTGCAGGATTCATAAAGGGGAGTTGTAGGGAGAAAGTCAAGCTGGATCACAGCGCAGTAGGTTATGTTCGAGACGAAAGATTTGGGGCTATCGTCTACAGGCGTGAGGGAGATCCATAGGAATACTGTTCATAACAGGAATACTGTTCATAACAGTACATCAGACAGTTCGTCTGGAGGCTGTGCATGTGTTGTGTTGAAGAGGGAGGGCAGTAGCCCGGGTTCAGAGAATAGCTGAGAGCTATTGGTAGAGCCCTCGAGAACGCATTAAGGGGAAGAACTGCCAGGAGGGCCATGAGAATGGCCACAGGATAATGGAGAGGAGAGGTGACAGGTAGCAGTATGGAGTAAGTGCTGACAGTTTATTGAACATAAGGGGACATGAGATGGAGAAGAGACAAGGATTTTGATATTTTAAGGAAAAAATAAAGAAGAATGGGTTTGATTAATGACGACAGAGTCCTATTTGAGCCACCTTGAATTTGAAGTGCTGGCAAGAGTCAAAGACTAAATATATCCAGAACAATTTGCAATGCACATCAGGAATGAAGATAAAAATAAAGCCGGAGCTAGGATTTTACTTACTTGGGGATAATATCATTGGGATAATAGCTGAAGTATCTTTGATTTGAGAGAAGTTCACCAGCGGGAGCGAGAAGAGCATTACAGAGAGAAGGCCAGGACTGTACTCATGGAGAACACCTACCCTTGGAAGGTATAAGGGGAACGGAAATCTTTCCCTCTCTCCTGGGAACAAAGAGACTCAGAAAGAGTCGTCAGAGGCAGCAGAGGTGACGAGGGAAGGGCTCAGAGGTGGGTAAGTGGCATCAGAAAGGCTGGACAGGCTAGCAGAGGTCATTTTGCTTGCACACTGGAAATCTTACTTTCGAAAGGGGGAGAGATCACTTAAGTATGGGTGATATGTGTTTTCAGAGCAGAGTGCTTTATATCTTTACTTAAGGAGTTTTCTGACATGATGCACCCCCGCCACAGGCAGCCATAGTGCTCCTCCTTTCCTAGCAGAACGTGTCAATCAGTGGCCTGCTGCTCACCGTCCTGGGAGGAGCCCTCTCAAAAACATAGGGGTGCTCTTCCCAGGAGTCCTCGAGAAGCCCAAAGATGCTGTAGTGGTTTTGGTATCTCTTTCCCACAGTGAGAGAACACTCCAAGCTGAAGGTCCATCAAACACTGCTTTTTTGCATCTGGACCATTGCTGTAGACCAAGGGTTCCTAACCTGAGGTCAGTGAATATCATGGCCAGTGAATATAATGTTGTTTTCCATGTGCATGCATTTTTCTGAAGAAATGACTTACCTTCTCCTAATTCTTATCAGTGTCCCTTTTTCAAAGAGATAAGAACACTCTACAGGTCATACACTCTTGCATAGTGATGTGAGTTCCTTGAGGACAAGAGTCTTTCCTTATACATTTTGGTGTTTCCATGGTATCTCTATCCATCTTGATTGAATGAATGGCTAATGGTGCTACCTTGGGCCGACAGGAATGATAAAACATTCATTTTAGCTCGATAGCCTCATGTTTAATTTAGCAAATACACATTCCTAGGAAACATATTTTCTAATGATAGTGTTCTTTGTTAGTATAACTTTTGCTTTGAAACAAATGCTTCACGCACACAGTCTCATTTATTTCTTTACTGTTATGCAGAGTTGGGATTACTATCTTCATTTCAAGAACAAGAAAGCTAAGAGTGAAAAAATTGTGTGTGACTGGCCAAAGGTCACACACACTACGTTTGCTGTTATTATAATCTCATAGGACATTTGTTTGTAAATAAAAATACCTATGAACATAATATACTTAACCTTCTTTTCTGGAATTCTTACTGGTTTGCAGTAGGTTAGTTTTTGTTTTATATGAATGAAACCTTTTTATTAGCCTGGAATTTGATATTCATGTTAAATGCAGTGGTTTCCAAATAGGTGTATTATTGAATGATAGTTACTACAGTAATCTAGTGACTCTAATGTCTTGGTCTTATCCTTGATAACATTAAATGAAAGAAATGAGGACCAGGTTTGGGTCTTTCCAGGGCAGAGGTTAAATGACATCTCTGATAACAGTCGAGTGTCGTGATTAAGATCATGGACTTTGGGACCTGATTTGGATTTCAAAGTTCCCTTCAACAGTTTTAAGTTCTCTTTGAACTTAGAAAGGTACCTACCAAATTGCCATCTGATTCTGAAAAAGAGAAAACTCATCTATTCCACTCCCATCTTTTCCTGGAGTTCTCTGCAGAAGGAAGGGAGAGCCATCGCAGCCTCCCCTGGATGGCGAAGCTGGTAGACTAGCAGGGTAGCTGTGCTGTCCGGGCACCTGGCTTCTGTCCCAGTGTGGCCTGTGTGGCACACTGTTCTGCAGCAGTGCCCTTGGTTTCCCAGCAGCAGCCGTCCTGTACCTCCTCACAGAGTGGGTTGTGAGAGTCCGTATTTACATACAGGCTAACGTTACTTTCCTAAACTAGTGAGTAGTACTTAAAGCTTAATGTAAAAGTGTGGGTAGGGGAGAAGAAACTCAGAACCACTCAGTCAAACAAACAAAACACTCGACATCTAAAACTAAACTCTAAAATAAAGGACTTGCAGATTAACCAGGCAGTTCTCTGAAATTGAAATTAAAAATATTACAGGACTACTAGGAAGCTCTGACTCAAAAATCTGTTGGGAACACACTGTTCTTAAGTTAAATGTGTACGTACTCTGTTAACTGAGCAATAGGGACTGTTAATGTTTCATACTAATTGAAATACAATTTTCCAAATGTGTTTGCTCAACATTACTGTACATGTTTTAATGATAATTTAAATATATATATTTAAATTCTTTAAATTCTTGATATATATATACATATACATATATATACATATACATCAAGATATATATACATCTTGATATATATATCAAGAACAGGTCAGCTACCTAATGGTTTAAATAAGCAGTTTAGCTTTCAGATGCCTGCGGGGAGAAAGTATAAGGATACAAGGAAAGAGGGAATCGTGTCCTCAGTGTGTGCCAGTCTGGCTGCTTGGGATGGGTAGTAGGGGACAGGGATTTTGCAACACTGGTGTGCCGAGAAGCAGAAATATTATTCAAAGATGTCTGGACACTGACCTGCTTTCTCTTCCCAAGAGAAATTGCTTCAAAAGCCAGACGAGCCTGATATTTAGAAACATTCATTTAAGTAGCACCACCAGTTTGTTGGTATAAGCTGGCCTGGTAGCATCCGGAGTATAAAAGGATAGTGTTTAGGAGGTTCCTCCCTGCTCAGAGGTTGTCACTGAGAGCAGCAGCCTCGTAGGGACGGGCGTAAGGGAAAAACAAACAAGCATGTGCCAAATATGCTTTTTCTCTGGGTTACCACTTCCTGTGGGTTCTGCAGCCTGGGCTGGGTAACGGGCCATGGCAGGTGTGTGTCTGATCTCTTCCCACGACTTGGTAACCCAGCTGCATGTGCATTCATTTTAATAGTGATAGTGGATGAGTCAAGTGCCATTTTCAAATGCCTAACTTCACAAGTTCATCCTAAACCCTGTAACTATCTTTTGGTTTTCATTATAGTTGTCCTGGATCTATGTCGTGTGGTGTAAGCTAAACTGTTTCAAAATTAGGACCGAAATACATATAATGAGGCTATGGAAAACTGATAAATTAGCCTCAACAACACAACCTATAATTACTTGTTGGCTATATGAGTATACATAATCTTAACCCATGGAGGTGGGGCCAGGGCCATCTTGTTCCTGAGAGTATCCTCAGATTTATCAATGTTATTTGTTCAGTTGACTATTAAATGACTTTTTAAAAATAGTACCTTCCTCATAGACAGCTGTCAGAAGGGTGGGGAGGTTGCGGGGCTGCTTGAAACAGGTGAAGGGTTCGGGGGGAAAAGGTACCTTCCATCATATCCCTCAATGGGACGTTTGTTATAGTGATATTAATACTGTATATTTTTAGAACTTTTAATTTGCTTCACAACTTTAGTAAAAAATAATTCATATAGATATTTCTATTTTTCTGAGATAATTAATATGTAAATTACTGTTTTCCAGGGTTCAAACTGTCCCAACATGGCTTTCCTTGGACTCTTCTCTTTGCTGGCCCTGCACAGCCTGGCTGTAGGGGCCGCTTTCCCTGATGAAACCATTGCTGAGTTCTCAGTGAATATGTATAATCACCTTCGAGCCACTGGGGAAGATGAAAATATTCTGTTCTCCCCATTGAGCGTCACCCTTGCAATGGGAATGATGGAGCTTGGGGCCCAAGGGTCTACCCTGAAAGAAATCCGTCATTCAATGGGGTATGACAGCCTGAAAAATGGTAGGTGTGCTTAGGTTTGATTTCTCAAGATAGTTTAACTTGAACTTTCAGCTCAGTTATGTTGTCTTATGCCAGAGGCAGCAGTATTTACACCCAGTAAAAAAGCAATCTCATTGAGATGATATGGCTAGGAGAAACATAAGGAAAACCAAGGCAGGAGTTCATTCCGCGCGCCATTCCTGGTTAATATAAGGAAATTATATATGATTATTATGATTATTAAAATAAAATTTACTGTAATAAATAAAAGCAAACATAGTTCTTGCTCTGATGGAATTTTCAATCTAGAGGGAGAGACGTTTATCAATCAATTATCACATAAATAAATGAAAACTTACAACTGAGATGAATGCTATAAAGAAAAGTAACTTGATTCTCTAAGAATATCAGAATTTTTTTTGATAGAATTAACTATCTTCCTTGGTTACATAGCATCTAAGAATTTTTTCATTATTATGAGAATTATATATACTGGAGAAAATTTTTAGCCAAAAGGTATTTCGTAATCACTTTGACATGATGTAAGATTTCTATTTTAATGTTTCTAATAGACATGTGAATTAACTCATTAAAAAGATAAGACCTAAAACAATTATAAAGGATTTTCTAGTTATAAGGTTTAAAGAAAGTCTAATAAAAGTAAATTTAGAGGAATAATTTTATTTTTAAACTAGATAATTAAACTTCATTCTTATTCCTGATGAACATAAGACCAATTTAATGAAAGTAACCTAAGTACTTTGAAAGTAAGCAACCAAAAAATCTTTACTTCATAGATTCTACCAAGATATTGAGTAAAATGAAAAATAATATCAGTTGATAATATTAAACTACAAAAAAGTTAATTTGAACATCTAGAAGTCACACAAATGTTGAACCTCCTTGTCATGTCAGTGTGAGGAACAAGCAAGTGCTTTTCCCCTGGGCCCCCAACCGTGTTTCTACTGCTCCTCCATTCTCCATATTTGTTCCACTGATTTATCCTATGTCGTTTTGTAGGTGAAGAACTTGCTTTCTTGAAGGATTTTTCTAACATGGTAACTGCTGAAAAGAGCCAGTACGTGATGAAAGTTGCCAATTCCCTCTTTGTGCAAAATGAATTTCACATCAAGGATGAATTTTTACAAATGATGAAAAAATATTTCAATGCGGAAGTTAATCGTGTGGACTTCGGTCAAAATATCGCTGTGGCCAACCATATCAATAAGTGGGTGGAGAATAACACAAATAGTATGTGGTTTGGTTCTTTTCTTTCTAAAATAGCTTAGTTTTGACTCTCTTGGTCCTGAAATTGCTTGTCTCCTCATTTCTTTTGCATTTTGAATATTAGATAGCATTTAGTTGAGTAATCATTATTTTGTGTAGATTAAAGTCTTTTTAGAAGCATTGTTTATGAATAAACATTTGAGAGATATGTTTAGTCTTTTGGCATGCCTAGAATTTTGACACTGATAAATTAATCTGAGGCCTGTAAACCCCAATTGATGGGGTTTTTTTTCCTGTGGAATAATCTTAGCTACCGTATGGAATTTTGCTTGAGTTGAATGGCAGTGGCTCTCTTATGATTGAGATAGAATAAGAGAGTTAAAAGTCAGAGTTTAAAGAATTTTGTTAGCTTTTCAACCACATAACTTGATTGGTAATCAAAATATTGTAAGGATTTCTTTAAAAAATAGCAGCCTATTTACAGCCCAGATAAATGGGGAGAAATTAAAAAGGGATGCTTTAATTTTACATTTTATTTTAAATTCATAAGTTTTACATGTATTTTAAATGTATTTAAGTTTTCCAAATGTTTTATATTTCATCATTTTATTTTCTAATTTTACCATAAAAATAATTGAAATTAAAATCTAAAAAAATGAGACCAAATTTAAAGTAGTTTTATTATAGCTGTTCATTAAATTAGTTCATATTATTGAACTCCACAAATAATATTTATCTACTACTTTTTATGTTGGAACAACAACAAAAGGAAACCCGATGACATACCCTATGTCCTCTAAATCCTTAAAAACTGAAGAACCTTCGTAAGCACAGGAGTGCTATCATTAATGAAATGAGAAAATACAAAGCAAAATTTGGTCCTATGTTTTTCACTATGATATTACTTTTTCTCTATGATCACTTTCACTAAGATCACTCTTTCAACTATGAGATTAAAATGTAGCATAATATAAACTTATATTGTTTTTATTAACATTCAAAGAATAAATCAGGAATAATAATCTACCTGGACTAAGTTGAATTATTAAAAGCTGTTTGTTTCCAAATTGTTTTTAAACACTGAACAAACAACAAAGACTGGGTATCTTTCAAAATAGATTTGGAAAGGAACATTTCAAGTGATAGAAAATAAGGCATCACAAGTTAAGTTGGCTTTCATGTATCTGTTTTCACCTAGGCAAAACAGTTGTTATATTTAGTAGAAAGACATCCAATGTTCATGGAGGCATGTTTGAAATGAATGACATTTTAATCATATACAATGTTCAAGAATAAACTTAGCACCGTTTATTGAGTGCTTACTCTGTGCTGAGTTTTACATGCATCATCAAAACTAGAAAATAGTGAAGCTTGAGATTCTGCTCTATGTGGTTTTGTAGTTTGTGCAAATATGAATACTTGTGTTATTTTAGGTTGTGTGGTTATTTTAGATGCCCTTGAGCTGTAAGTGTGCATGTGTGTGTGTGTAACATTTTTTTTTTTTTTTTTTTTTTGAAGATAAGATATTTAAATTTTACTGCAGATTTAGTAATGGTACATAGTTTTTCTGGATCACTCTGTCAGATGGTAGTTTGATAATTTTTTATCCCTTTTCATCTTCCAATTTAATATAAAGTTTCATCTATTTATTTTTCCTGATTAGGTCTGTTGAAAGATTTGGTATCCCCAAGAGATTTTGACACTGTCACTCATCTGGCCCTCATAAATGCTGTCTATTTCAAGGGTAACTGGAAGTCACAATTTAGACCTGAAAATACTAGAACCTTTTCCTTCACTAAAGATGATGAAAGTGAAGTCCAAATTCCAATGATGTATCAACAAGGAGAATTTTATTATGGTATGAATTTTGGCTTTTATTTCTCTCTTTCTGAGGTATGTCAACAGATTTTTAAAAAATATATATGTTTTTATTGATTTTAGAGAGAGAGAGAAACATCAATTGCTATCTCACATAAACACCCAGACCAAGGATCAAACCTGCAACCTGGGTATGTGCCCTGACCAGGAATCGAACTGGTGACCATTTGGTGCTCAGGAGCACACTCAAGCAACTGAGCCACACCAGCCAGGGCTCAACAAATTTCTGAGAAAAAAAACATGAAACATTCATTACTTAAATTTCTTGTCACTTTAATTTGAGCTAAATTTCCTTGGTTCCATTTTCCAAGCCTCTAATTAGATCCTGAGTGAATACTGTGTGCATTGACAGCTTTTCAATGTTTCTTTAACTTATAAATTTGATAACACATGCAGAATGAGTTTATTTACATAAACATACCTAACCCCCAGTGTAAGGCTATTCAGTTATTGCAAAAAGTCATTGGCTTTGAGGTGGTTTTCAGGGACTCATGTGTTCCACCCAGCTCTCTATTTGACTCCTCACAGTGTTTTGAATTACAAGCATTCTTTTGAAATTTTACTTTCATACCTGTGTATGTATGGTCAGACATAATTATTCATTCATAGTTTCATTTATTGAGGATGTATAATTTGTGATACAATTCACTGTGCTTGGCATTATTTTCAAAGATGTTTCATGGGGACTTTTCAGAAGCTTCAAGTCTGAATCCTTCCTACACCCTGCATTAAAGTGTAACAGTTTTTTTTGTTTGTTTGTTATAAGCAAAAAAATGTAACTGTAAGCTAAGTGCATGTTAGAATTAGTAGCTTATTCTATTTAAAAATGCATTGTAAAAATAAAAGATTATAATCACAGTAATCAAATTAACAGTCAAAACTAGAAAGGAAAATACCCATTTAATTGAGAACCAAAATGTTTAATGTGGTAGTTTAAAAGCCCTCGGTCAATTTATAGGAAAATATTCACAACAAAAGCATTACTTTTTTTTGAAAAAGGGGGGAAATTTTAAAGTCATGGCAGGACCATTTGTTTTAAAGACTACTTAAATTTTTTATGAAAGCCTAGTCAATTTAGTTATGTTTATAGAACACAAAGTCAATTATCTAATTTACCTAATTACATAATCTGAAGGCCATCATCACCACACATACACTAGGCAGCTATTGTAGAATGCAGTCGTTTTATTTTGGCTGTGCTGCCTTTGCCTCGAACTTTCAGCTGTGATATTAATACGGTACCATGTATTACATGGTCAGTTCTTCCCTTCTTAGTAACCAGGCAGATATTGATAAATGTTATATTGGATTCGGGATTTTATTTTTCTAACCAGAACTTTTCATTGTTTCTAATAATATCCCTTAAATCTATATTCATTTGGCGTCTCATTTAAAAATAAAAAACTACGTCTAGAGAACATGTTATGACAAATGGGAAATAACTCTGGGGATTCTAAAATAAGATCAATTCTGCAGGGCTTAGGATTCACTTGAATTTCAATGTCTATTTTTAAAGAAACCCTCTTTTTCTCAGATGTGTCCTTTCTTACATTCTATACACTATTTTAGGGGGAAAAAAAGTTATACAAATTCAAACCTTTTATTTAGGCTTTGATAGGGGCCTTTTATCACCTTTTCGTTTTAGGGGAATTTAGTGATGGCTCCAATGAAGCTGGTGGTATCTACCAAGTCCTAGAGATACCGTATGAGGGAGACGAGATAAGCATGATGCTGGTATTGTCCAGACAAGAAGTGCCACTGGCCACTCTGGAGCCACTGCTCAAAGCACAGCTGATTGAAGAATGGGCAAACTCTGTGAAGAAGCAGAAAGTGGAAGTGTACCTGCCCAGGTGAGAGGCTCCTTCCTGTGCGACTCCCTCTGATGGCGTGGAGGGAGAGATGTCAATAAAGATTCTGACCCAGAAAAACTCTTGTCGTTACTTTTGAATTTTAAGTCTTGTGCTACTCTCCTCCTCTTGCTATTCCTCCTCCTCCTCCTCCTCCTCCTCCTCCTCCTCCTCCTCCTCCTCCTCCTCCTCCCCCTCCACCTCCTCCTCTAATTCTCCTCCTTCTCCTTTTTTCAAAGTATTCTTTCATTCTCATGTGGTCCTGCCAGAAACACAGACTCACTTATTGACTTATTCATTACTATTTACCAACACCTAGTTTCAGATACGAGTCAATATTCTTAGCTTTATTTTAGAAGATTTTCTAATAGAATATCTCTGAATATAATTTACATGGACAGTCTTCTGTATTTCATTAATATTTAAAGTTGATTATAGCTGGAAAAATAATCCCTGACATTGCTGGAAAAAATACAAGCAAGGCACTGTGCTAGATGCTAAGATGCAACCATAAATAAGCAGGAAGGAGCTTAAAATTCTCCCTGTGGCTAGAAGAACAAAGTCCACACAGGGCCTTGATGTGCTGACTACCATTATCTTCCTCAAGCCTACTTCTGGCCACTCAGCACATCGAGCATTTTGTAGCATATGCTGTCTGTGCGCTTGCAGTTATGCCACAGGTATCATGCTCTTTTCATGCCTCTGGGTCTCCATGCATGTTTTCGTATTGGCTTATAATGCCCTCCTCACATTGCTTTGCCAGATTTATTTACTTAGCCTTCAGGGTACAGCTCTGGCACCAGTTTTAGGAAGCCTTCCACGGACTCCCTGATGGAGCAGGTGACCCTCACTTTGTCCTCACTTATGCATCTGCCTGTTACAACAGTACATTTATGTTACCACTCCACAGTGAAATTACCCTTTTATAAGTCTTGCTTTACTTCTGTAATTTCTTCTAGAGTCAGATCTCTCCTCCATAATAGAGATGTGTTTGCAGAATGAAACACAACCAAAGATATTCATTCTTTCCTTGACTACCTTACAACCTTGTAGGGGCAAGACCAGTGAACACAAACAAGTTCATAAACATAGTGTGTGAATTCTGAACTAGAAAGCAACACATACAAATGAACCGCTGATAAACATAAGTGTATGTGGGTATGTGGAAGTACAGTTCTAACATTCATTCCATATTAGAAAATTATACAAATATGAATAATATGAACATTGAAAGGTGATAAATAATAAATTAGTATGAAAATTGAATTACTAAACATTCATCCATATTTATCCTAATTTTAGGACTTATTTAAGTTATATCTTATGTAAAGACTAATTCTTCAAAAAGCTTAGCTGATGTTTGCTTATGTTAATGAAGATTATTTGGGATTATAGGTAGATCTTACTAGAAATGTATATATACATTATGTTAGTATTACATATCATAATATATAACCATATATAATATATAGGCATACATTTCTTAGTCTGCACATAAAAATTAAGGTACTAGTGCTCCAAACATTTATTTATTTATTTTGGCTAAAACATTTAGTTTGCCTAGCTTTCTATAACACATTTATATAGAAAGATTCCACTATGTCTATGCACAAAGAGAGGTAGCCAGTGAGTGAATATCTGTCAAATAAGGCCAAGGTTATATATATATATATATATATGTGTATATATATATATGTATTTGACATCTACATACTGAATATATATATATATATATATATATATGTATTTGACATCTACATACTGAATATATAAACAATATATTTTAACTCTAAAAAAATTTAGTTTTAAACATTACTAACCAAATTTAAATAACTATCTAAATCAGATCTAAACTCTTCCAGAGACTTTTATCATTAATTTTGTATTTTTCCTTGCAGTTTACAATAAATTCCTTTTGATAATATGAGAAATTCAGTACAGTTTTAATGTTTCCCTTATTGAATTTTATGCATTACGTGCAGCATCTCCCAATGCTCAATTCTGTGAGGATGCAAAGTTACCTAGGAGTGTTGTAACAAGATGTAAAGGAATGCTTAAGTATCACGTATTCTAATTCAACCATATGCACTAGAAAATGTGGCCTCCAGGTCCTATCTACTGAGAAATTGAATGTGGCAGCAGAAGAAAATTATTTTTTCATATTCTAAGAGATACTCTTCTATTATGAAATCATTTAGCTTGCTTGCTCATATTTATGCCTGTTACTAAACTAGGCACAACTGATTACCTTGTATCCATTTCTCTGGGAGTTCTAGGAACTCTCCCTCTGCATGGCTAACTCATAGAGAGGAAGATACATTTGGTTTCTCTTTTCAAGAGATTGGCTTTTTTCAAATACTTATGAGTCAGTAATAATTAGTGGGAAACTATCCACCCTCCACTTGACAGCATTAGGATCCACGAAATGTTCAATAAGGGTAATGGCTTGTGTGACCCAATTTTAGCAAAGGTAAAAATGTTCTGATAGTTGTATTCCAGGTTTCCTCAAGTGTCTGTCTGAAATGGTTTGTGTGTTTTTATTCGTATGGAAATTACTACCTGGAAATGCAACTTTGCATTTCTGTAATTTGACCAATTCTTGCCCTACTTAACAGGTACTTTACTTTCTGATGTACAACATTTTATACAAAAAGCTGTAAAATGCTTTTCTTAAGAGGTAGAGGGTATTTCAGGGTGGAAGAGAAGGAACAATGACTTCTGTATTTTTATTATTTCCCTCATCCTGGAACCTACTGGAACCAGATAATAAATTAGAATTGTATTTTTTCTCAAAATACAAGAAGTCTGTTCAGGAGAAGGTAAGATTGCTATACCTATGTGATATCACTACACCCAGTGAAACACTGAAGGTTTATGCACAGCCATACATCTCTGAGCTTTAAATGAGATTGATTGTCAAATATTCTTCCTAGGTATCTTAATTTTTTTCCCGCAATAGTAAATGGTTTTTTTTATTTTTATTTTTATTTTTTTTAGTTTCTCTCTCTGTGTGTTCATTATTGGTACATAAAAATTCCAATGATTTCTGAATGTTGATTTTGTATCCTGCTACTTTGCTGAATTCATTTATTAAATCTAGTAGTTTTTTTATGGAGTCTTTAGGGTTTTCTATGTACAATATCATGTCATCTGCAAATAATTACAGGTTCACTTCTTCCTTTCCAGTTTAAATCCCTTTTATTTTTTCTTCTTGTCTGATTGCTGTGGCTAAGACTTCTAGTACTGTGTTAAATAAGAGTGGTGAAAGTGGACATCCTTGTCTTGTTCCTGTTCTTAAGGGAAATGCTTTTAGTTTTTGTTCATTGAGTATGATGTTGGTTATAAGTTTGTCATAAATGGCCTTTATTATGTTGAGATATGACCCTTCTATTCCCACTTTGCTGAGAGTTTATATCAAAAATGGATGCTGGATTTTGTCAAATGCTCTTTCAGTGTCTATTGATACGATCACATAATTTTTATCTTTCATTTTGTTTATGTGGTGTATCATATTTATTGATTTACAAATATTGTACCAGCCTTGCATCCCTGGGATAAATCCCACTTGGTCGTGGTGTATAATTTTTAAAAATATATTGCTGTATTTGATTTGCTAAGATTTTGTTGAGGATTTTGGCCTCTATGTTCATCAGGGATATTGACCTGTAATTTTCTTTCTTTTTAGTGTCTTTATCTAGTTTGGGGATTAGGACTATACTGGCCTCATAAAAAGAGCTTGGAAATCTTCCATCCTCTTGAATTTTGTGGAATAGTGTGAGGAGAATGGGTGCTGGTTCTTTGAATGTTTGTAAAACACTCCTGTGTAGCTATCCAGACCAGGGCTTTTGTTTGTTGGGATTTTATTGATTACTTTTTCTATTTTCTTAATTGTTATTGGTCTGTTTAGATTTTCTGACTCTGCCCCGTTGAGTTTTGGAATAGTATATGATTCTAAGAAGTTGTCCATTTTGCCTAGGTTGTCGAATTTGTTGGCATACAGTCATTCCTCTCCACTTCGCGCTTCGACTTTCGCAGCTTCACTCTATCGCGGTTTTTTCAAATAAAGAATCCTACTTTGGCCCTGGCCAGTTTGGCTCAGCGGTTAGAGCGTCGGCCTGCGGTCTGGAGAGACCCGGGTTCGGTTCCCGCTAAGGGCACGTACTTTGGTTGCAGTTTGTCCCCGGCCCTGGTTGGTCGTGCGGGTGGCAGCCACTCGATGTGTCCCTTTCACGTCGATGTTTCTCTCTCTCTCTCTCTCCTTCCTCTCTCTCGTTCCCACTCTATCTGTACAAAAAATGGAAAAATATCCTCGGGTGAGGATAAAAAAAAAAAAAAAAGAATCCCACTTTGTGGAAATTCATTTATAGCAGTAGAGTCTGGAACTGATTAACTGCGATAAACCAGGGCCAATTGTATAATTGTTCATAGTATTTTCTTACATTCCTTTGTATTTCTGTGGTGTCCATTGTTATTTTACTTCTTTCATTTCTGATTTTATTAATTTGGGTTCTCTGTTTCTTGGTGAGTCTGGCTAAAGGTTGATCTCTTTTGTTTATCTTTTCTAGGAATCAATTCTTGGTTTCATTGATCTTTTGTATTTTTTTTTTTAGTTTCTGTGTCATTTATTTCTGCTCTGATTTTTATTATTTTCTTCCTTCTACTAACTCTGTGTTTTTCTTTTTGTTCTTTTTCTAAATCTTTAAGTTATTGGGTTAGATAGTTTATTAGAAATTTTTCTTCTTTCTTAAGGTAAGCCTGCCTGTATTGCTATGAACTTCCCTTTCAGGACTGCTTTTGCTGTGTCCCATAGATTTTGTATTGTTGTGTGTTCATTTTCATTAGTTTCCAGCAAGTTTTTTATTTTTTTCTTGATCTCATTGGTAACCCATTTGTTGTTTAATAACATGATATTTAGCCTCCATGTGTTTGAATGTTTTTGAGTGTAATTGATTTCTCATTTTATGCCATTGTGATCTAAGAAGATGCTTGATATGGTCTTAATCTTCTTGAATTTGTAGAGACTTACTTTGTGTCCTAACGTATGGTCTGTCTTTGAGAATGTTCCATGTGTACTTGAGAAGAATGTATATTCTGCAGCTCTGGGGTGAAATGTTCTGTAAATATCAATTAAGTCCAACTGATCTAGTTCATCATTTAAGGATTCTGTTGCCTTGTTAACTTTTCGTCTAGAAGATCTATCCAGTGGTGTCAGTAAGTTGTTAATGTCACCCATTATGATTGTATTGCTATTAATTTCTTCTTTGAAGTCCTCCAGAAGTTTTTAAATATATTTTGGTGTTCCTATATTTGGTGCATATATGTTTAACAGGGTTATATTGATCCCTTTAATATTATGTAGACCTTCTTTGTCTCTTTTATCTTATCAGATATGAGTATTGCTACACCAGCTTTTTTTTCGTTTCCATTGGTCTGGAAAATTTTTTCCCATCCTTTCACTTTCATCCTGTGTGAGTCTTTTGTTGTGAGGTGGGTCTCTTATAGACAGCATATATAGGTCATGCTTTCTTATCCAGTCAGCTACCCTATGTCTTTTGACATTTACATTTAAAGTTATTATTGATAGATGCTTATTTGTTGCCATTTTTATTTTATGCCTTGGAAACCATTTTTAAAAAGTAATATTCTGTTTATGACCACTGTACTTATTTTTAAATTTTTAAATAATGTATGTATTTTTTAAATGAGGCACATTTATGTATAATAATTCATAAAGTATATAATTGTTATGTATATTAATTCATTACAGCAAAAAAAGGATCTATTATTCTTGTTTTAAAAATCTCTATATAATTGTAAAAGTGCATGGTTTTTAAGATATATTTAACTCGCTTTCATTGATTAACAGTTTTTCTGGGATGCTGCCATGAGAACAGGCTTATGTCCTAGACGTTAATATAACCATGAAGATTATAAATATTTTTAGCATGATAGTTTTTAAGTTTCCTTTTGTGAATTATATGGAGTTGAAATGCTGGGTATATTCATTTTACAGCAAAACTTGGCTCTTATTTAACCATTTGCATTGGGTAGAAAGTTAACCAGGATACTAAGAAGAGAATGAAGCATTTTGGGGAAATGTATGATTAATTATTATCACCTTAAGAAAGCAAATATTGCTAGGTCAAAGGATTTGAAAGCTGTTCATTTACAAGTTTTACATTGGTAATGATTCTTGATCTCAAAACTCATTTATTCCACTGCATATTATGACTTTGTGTCCATATTCCATGTTTTCTACTTAATAATTTAATACTTTTATACTATTCTATTTGACTCTGCTATTTTTTACAATCACAATCAAATATTACTTGCAGTCAAAACCCAGTTTTAGCATAATTTTTCCTCATAAAACAGACTTTAAAAATCAAGATACCTAATATTTTATTCTTGTTCCAGGTAACCAGATACTGTAACTAAATACTTTTAAGATGCTGTAACTAACTATTTTTCCCTCTCTGTGTTTTCCAGGTTCACAGTGGAACAGGAAATTGATTTAAAAGATGTTTTGAAGGCTCTTGGAATAACTGAAGTTTTCATCAAAAGTGCAAATTTGACAGCCTTATCTGGTAGGAAATAAACACCAATTGTTTTCAAAAAGTATATTTCATAAAAACTTTTTAAGTGATGATGTTGAATCCTGTAGTTACTTTTCAGTTCTAAGGTAAAATATAGTTATTTGCTAAATAAATACAACAAATATATTTAACTTCTTCTACAATCAAAACTATAAATACAGTCATAACATTAAGTTTACATTATTCTGGTCCATGTCTTATCTTCAATAGTAGATTATATTCTCCAGAAGACCTGTCTCATACATCGTTGAACTTCCCATCTCTTCTGACACAATGCTTGTAGAGTAGATAACAAACAAATGTGTTGATTGAATATCTCAATGTGTTCCATACCAATAAATCATAGAGGAAAGGAGATTAAGTAAGTGTCTGCTATGAGAACTAGATACTTATTATTATTATTTTTATTGATTTTAGAGAGAGAGGAAGGGAGAGGGAGAGAGATTGAAACATCGATGAGAGAGAACATTGATTGGCTGTCTCCTGCGTGTCCTGCACTGGGGATTTGGCTCACAGCCTGGGCATGTGCCCTGACCGGGAATTGAACCGGCGACCTCCTGATGCATGGGTCAACATTCAACCACTAAACCACGCCGGCCAGGCAGAACTAGATATTTATTAAAAGAATACTTAGTGAGATCATGTAAATATTATTCTAAGTCTTCAATAAAATACATTGGTTTTGAAGAAGTAGCTTCAAAATATAGCTGGCATATTGGGTGTTGAGTAATTGATTTTAACTATCTCAAGAAAATAAAGTCCACTTGAATTAATTGATTCAGATGCCCTAATTTGTTCAGGGTAAAAACCATAACATATTAGTAACATTAAAGTACTTAGAACATACAAAATCTTTTTGGAAGTATTTTTTAAGTAACCAACCCCAAGATATTTATCATTGAATTAAGCTACTTGTGAGTTTGAGACTCAGCTTATGTAATAATTATTTTCTATCATTTCTGTAGAACATAGAAAATAAAACAATCTGTTTTTGATGAGATCAAGTCAAATATATATCAAGATGAAAGAAACTCCATATGTGAGACCGCTTGATATGCTCATTGTTGAACCCAATTCTCCATCTAGAGAGAGCTGAGGTGATAGATTTCCTTAGTGGCTTGTGAGTTGCAGGAGAGAATTTAGGTTTCTTCTCCTGAAGTAGCACCCGATAGAAAATCAAGCTGACTGAACAATAGCTTCTAAACCTGGAGTGTGAGGGCCCATAGACCGAATTCAGGGAAGTAGAGGCCTTCGTCCCTGAAATTGCATACAGATGTGTGTTTCCGAGGTGGGGGAGCAGGGGAGAGAAGAAAGAGGATGCCAGGGAGGAGATAGCGCATTCATAGCTTTCAATAAATTCTCGAGAAATCTACAATCACAAAAGCCTTGCCCTCCCAGATTTAAGATTGGGGCGATTGTTTTCTGGGTGGCACTTAGCTTTCAGCAGTGAGATGCTACCGATGTATCTTCTACCCCTTCTTTAGAGAGCTTACTTACATTGCAAAACACTAATAGAGCTTTTCTAAATATCAGCTCTATGAATGTTCCTGTCCACACAAAAGAAGTGGATTTTCCTTGAGTAAAGGTTTTCATGACTCACACCCGGCAACTGAGGCTGTGAACTCTTCAGAGATTGTCCAGAAGGTGGTACAGGTGGAGATTCCCAAGGTAATGGGTGCCTTTGAGCTTGAGTCAGAAATACTTTCATGGCTCAAGCATAGTCTAATTTAAAGTTCTTATGCTCCCTATCGTAGGAACTGAGAGAATCTGTCTACCGCACTGGCCAAATTCCAACAGGATAATTACATTCTGCTTTCTGACCATGGCTCTATTTCAGTTTGATTAGAGATTCACTCTCACTGTCTCACCCAAACATCTAGGCCTTTATTTCGCACACAGAATGTTTGCAGCTTTTCAGTCCTGAGGGAGTAGCACCGCAGTGGCAAGTCAATTATTGTGGTCAGTGTAGCTTAACATTTTTGACATATCTGGAAGGTTTATAAGTAATATTTAATTGCCTGTACTATGTACAGAGACAATAGAGCACTGATACACATTGTGAATGCAGATGGTTTGGAGATTAGAAATAGCAGTAGGATCTTTCAGAGTTTATACCGTATACACGGGAAATGTCGCTGTTTGATCAAACCTCCGTCAGAATTGGGTCCTTCTCAGCGTCCTGCTCACAGCTGCATGTCCCATACCTGGCGCAGGGCTGACGCATCCTTGGCACAGATGTCCACTCAAGGATAAAGTGAGGGAGGGAAGGAGGCAAGAGTTTTCCTTGAGGCCACCTTGCACATTACATTTCTTGGAACATATATTCCTTAAACATCGGTAAGAAATCCAGAATTGGCCATCCGCAAACACTACCCAGTTCAGGTCCTCAGCATAACTTGATCAAAGATCTGAAGCCAGTATCTCAAGCTTTCAGTGGGAACTCACTCTAGTTCTTAAATTCCTAGTTTCACCAGAGACTTGGTAGTGCCAGCATGCCAGCCACTCCAGGCAATACATCCTCTGTCTCTTTCTTACACACACACACACACACACACACACACACACTAATGTGTGAATCCTTCCTTCAATAACTATCTGGTGACACAACCATAAGGCTTGCTTCTATGCTTTCTCTAAATTCAATACCATTTGGACCCTGAATCATTTCTTTGAGCACCATACACTCTGCCTTACATGGTTGGTATTCTTGTTATCTGTCAATTTTTTTGCCTCTAAATAATGACTAAAGTGTCTGTGACATGTAGTAACCCCCACACATACCCAGAAAATTATTAGCATGTATTACTTGGTTATTACTTTCTATTTCAATGAGAACTTTATGGTGTTTAAGATATACAATATTAATTATATTCAACATCATGTCTATTTCTTTCATTTAACAACTCTCTGTGAAGCAGATAGTGTGAGCAAAGTACTGTGTCATAAAAATAAAGAGATGATCAATATATCTTTCTTGCTCTAAAGAAGCATACAGACTTGTGGGGAAAAGGACGCAAACAGCCGGATTTAATGAAACAAAGAATGATAGAAATGTTTTACTGTGCAGTGGTTCCAGCCAGGACAATTTGGCCTCCGGGGGATGTCTAGCCATAGCCGCAGACCTTTATGGTTGTCCACGGGTGCTTTCTACAAACCTGTGATGTACAACGCACAGGACAGCCCCACAGCAAGGAATTATCCCGCCCAAAATGTCCATAGCAATGAGTTGAGAACCCTGTACCTGGAGAAAGTATTGTGGAAACAGAGAGGGAAAAACAGCTGAATAGCAGAATGGGAGCATATTGGGTCAGGGATGGAGGAGGAGAGTGTAGACATGTATTTACGCTTTTAAATACACAGAACATTTCTGAACAATGTCTTAGAAAGAAATAGCAGTAGTTGCCTCTCGAATGTGGGACAGAGGCTCCTGGGTAAGAGAGTTTTTATTTCAGATACTGTGTATTCTTTGTTTGCAAGTTCACACTGTGTATGTGTTATTTTTCTATTAAAATTCTTATTTAAAAACCGGGAAACACCCTGGCCAGTTTTGCTCAACGGTTAGAGCGTTGGCCCGCGGACCAGAGAGACCCGAGTTCAGTTCCCGTTAAGGGCATGTACCTTGGTTGCAGTTTGTCCCCAGCCCCGGCTCGGGTCGTGTGGCTGGCAACCACTCAATATCTCTCTCTCACATCAATGTTTCTCTCTCTCTTTTCCTTCCTCTTTCCCTCTCGCTCTATCTGAAGATAAATGCAAATAAATAAATAAATTAATTAATTAATTAATTTAAAAAACCGGGAAACACCTTAAAAATAACATTAGTAGGTTTTGTAAATTCAAAAGCACCCAGAAAACAGTTACAATTGAGATGCTGCTACATTCTTAAATCATGCAATAAAATATTTATCTTCAAAATAACAAATGTGATTTAGTAGTGGGCCAAAACACCACCACCTCCGACAACACACAACTCTGCTTCACGTTCTCCTGCTTCTGAAAAAAGAGTGACTTGAGAATCCTTTACTATGACTCTTGCAGTCACTCTTTTATTTTCTATTTCATGGCATCCGCCTTCATTTCAGACTCCCATTACTGCTGCCCTAGACTATTTCAATAGCCTCCTAAATGGTTTCCAATCTCTCTTCCATTTAATCTGTCTTATCTACTACTGCCAAGATTAATCGCCTTAAACCTCACTCTCAGATCATTCCAGTTCCTGTTCACAGCCCCCTGCAGCCTCTGCGCCCTGTCCACTGCTCCCAGGGGGTTCAGCCTCAGCTCCCTCCAGAGTTAACGGGCTGACTCTTTAGACACGGCGTGCGCTGCAGCCAAAACGAACACGTGCTCTGCGCCGCACATTCCCCCAGCGCCCCATCTTCGTGAAGTCTCTCCCACCCAAAACACCTCTAGAACTGAGCTTCAGCTCAAATATCCCCAACGCGAGCAAGCCACCGTGATTACAACAACCAGAAGTAACCACTCCTTAAATACTAACGTATTCTGTGCTTCTCCGCATGCCACACATCATGTCTGATCTCAGCACTATTTGTGAATGGGATATCCCTGCCAGATTTTCAACCTCCCAGAGATCGATCCTGATGCGGGCTTGGGAAGCACCCAGCACTGTGCTTCCTGCTTAGTACTTACTGAATGAAGGAATTGGATACAACGAGATGCTCTGTATCTATTGTGTTTGTTTCCCATCTCAATTTGACGCCCATTGTTTTTGATGCCAAATTTTATTAACATAAAACATAGTAAAGGCTCATACAATAAACATGGAATCTAAGAGGGTGCTGAGAATCATTTTCTTCTCAGGCTCGATTTAAAATGCTCATCGAGTGGCCGCGAAGATTCTGTTAGAGAGCAGGGCTATTTTTTTGTAATGGAAATGAGTGACTGTCAGTATTTGGATTAATAGATAATCCTCTTGGAAGGTGTAAGGAAGGAAAAAGTGAGTACTAAATCTTTCAGCATAAAGTACGAGCTTTAAT